AGGGGGGGGACAGACGGGGGGTGGGGGGGGGGGGGGGGGGGGGGATAGAAGTGGGATTTTTGTCTTAGTTTCAGAACTTGTGATTTAAATTCTTAATTCTAGGTAAGTACTGGTTTTTTGTTTTCTGCGTATGTGTGTATGAATTAAATTCAGATGGAGTCAGAGGGGAACTGAAATTGAAGAATTAGCTCTGTGTTGAATTCCTTAGAAATCTCTCAGTTATCAGTATCAAGGGTCAGATAATAAAAGCTGTATGGTAAGCTTTTTCCATGCTGTTACGATGAGTAGACAGTCAGTGGAAATCAGAGTGGAAAAACCCCAACAGCCGCAATAGCTGTACCCACACCTTAGTTACCATCAGAGTTGTTGCTCGTAATGAACCAAGAATGAGAAACTAGTGGGAAGTGTGGTAGAAGAGGATGGTATGGATGGTGCCCAACTCGCCGCTCCCAACCCTTGGGCTGTGGCCCAGCTCTCTTTTGCTTACCTTTGGGAAGTAACAGAAATTTACCTTTGGAAGTAATATAAATACTTGCCTGATTTTAAAAGGGTATTGAAGCATGAGTTGCTTGTAAATTTGGACTTGAAATTCCAAAACCAAAGTGCTACATACAAATGCAAAGTATCCTTAATGTATTTTGGAAGTGCGAAAGTAACATTATGGAGCTGTCATTGAGGTCAATCTAAAACTCCCTCAATAAGAAACAAAACTGTATCTCAGAATTGTTGTAACTCAGGTTTTTTGGGCAGCCCTCTTCCTCAGGACTGCTCCTAGTCCATTCACAAGTAGCAAACTGAAAAATAAGCCTGCATGTTAATGATTCATATGCCCTCATTATAAATAATATGATGGTCTCTGCTGGTTAAGTTGCATCATTCATGGGAGATAAATTAAAAATAAAGATATCCACGTCACCTCACATGTAGCGATCAGACAGGTCCATCATGTTCTCTGAGGCATCGGTCACATTTCATTTCTGTGTCATTTTTATGCCCGTTACTGTTCCGAGTGTAGATAAAAATGCTTAAGACCTTATGGTATTAGAAGGGAACTGTTTGGTTTATGTGGAAGTTTGGGGAACAACATACTCTATTCTAATTCCGTCCTTGATTTCTTGCATCACTTGACAGTTGTCATTTAACTACTCTATGTGTTTTTTCCCCAGGATAGAAACAGGATTAACATTACTTTACCTGGTAGCAAGGATTTCCTTAATGCCCAGTGAGAGGGCCTTACATTGTAATGTGTGCTTTTGTAATGACAGAGGTAGCCACACTGGTTTTCAGTAAAAGCTCTGTGATGTTCATTGCTCAATTGTTCCTGGTGTAATTTTGCTGTCCTCATTAAAGCTACTGTACCATGTATATCATTTCTAGATGTGAAAGACTCGAAGAGCAGCTAAATGACCTGACTGAGCTCCACCAGAATGAGATCCTCAATTTAAAACAGGAGCTGGCCAGCATGGAGGAGAAAATTGCCTATCAGTCTTATGAGCGAGCCCGGGACATTCAGGTGGGTGACAGAAACGAGGAGACTCAAGTCCTGTCTTCCACCTGCTCTTTCTGTAACTCATTCACCTTTGAAGTACTTCCGTGATTCAATATTTGGTTTTAATCCTTGTAGTTTTATTGCTAAACTGCATATCGATGAGTTCTGAAAGGGCCTTTATTCCATCTTTGACACTTGGGTATCTCTCCAAGTAACTTCTTTTGTAAAGAAGGGCTATGCCCAAGCACCAGCAGGCAGGTTCATCTGCAGAGGGAGCCTGCCACTTGGTCTGGAGCAGTTTTTAAATCACCTGTAGCAAAGTGGAGGCCTGCATCCACTTTTGTGCAGAGTTTTGTAGGGTATTAGAAACTAATGGGCCGTGACCTGAACACTTTTTTACAGTAGTGTTCCCAGTAGCCAGACCCTATGGTATGCTTCTGTGTCACTAATTTTAGAGCAATGGTCACATGTGTCTAAGGAAAACTGGCTTTGTGTATCCACTACATTGAGTCAGGAAACAATTCTTTCTCTTGATTTTGCCCAAATAAGGAGGTATTTTTAAGAGACGTTTCTTTCAGTATGTAAAAGAGCAAAGCTATGGAAACAGAGATTATGAAGTTGGAGGGCCTTCCACAGAGCAGAAGACCTGGGAAATTATCTGAGCAGCCACTAAACCATATAAAGAAAGGCCTATTCAAAAACAGGTCTATCGTCCATTTTAAGTACTTGTGCTAGTTTTAGCAGGCCTCTCGGTGCTGATCGCTGACGTGAGATATTTACAGTGTGAGCAGAGAATGGTAGGTCTAAGTTATTCCTCTTTTCTCCCCCCCGAGGTGCTTCAGCCAGGTGATTTCCTCTGGAGATGGAGCAGGCTGTGCTTTTGGCACACTTGTAGATCCAGCTGCAAGTCCCGTAGAGTCAGTGTCCTTCCAGGTTGCTTGCTGTTAGAGGAGGCTGAGCAGTTTTGCCCCATACTTTCAGGGACCATAGCTGAAGAGAAGCTCTCATGTTTCATTGACCTCTACAGGCATGATGTAATGATAGAGAAATCTAACAGGTGACAATGACCTTTAAGTTAAGGTTAAAATAAATCGGTGTCTGTGGACAGTGGTGCCATGGCCCCCGACAGAGTAAACAAGAGGCTCTCCCTTGGGGGAATGTTACAATATTCAGGTTTTGTTCTCCTCTCTAATTTAACACAGCAGGAAGAAGTAAGGTTGAAAACTTAAATTGAAGTGGGGATTTCTCAATAGCTTTTTTTAATCTTCATTTTATGATTCAGCACTTTTAGTGTAAACTTGCAAATTGGGACAGACTATTCCTCAGCATTGCTGGGGAAAAGGTAAGTGTTGAGTTTTCTTACATGAAAAACTAGCTATGCACATGGGCTGATGTTGCAGAGGAACAGAGTCCTGGCTCCTTTTTCAGTGATCAGTCTGACAGAGACTGCTGTTTGGTGCAGGCTTCTAGATGTTACCTGAAGTTGGCCTTTACCTCCGAGAAAAGCAACTCCGAGGGAGGATTAATGGAAAAGTTGTAACTTTGTATTTGCAAGAACAGAAACCTCTCATTGCATTAATTGCCCTAAAACCTCTCTTCCTTGTCCCTAGCCCACCCACTGCATGTCCCCAGTGTTGTACTGTGGGTTGGGTTGGTCCACTTGAGGTTCAGCATGGTGAAGAGGTCTGAAAACAATCACCTCCAAGTCAACAGTGCTTTAGAGATGTTGTCTTGTACAGGATAGTCTTCTCTTTCCACAAACTTTTGCCTCTTCCTAAAGGCAGTTTCGTAAATCTCATGCTTCTTGCCCTTCTCCTAGACACCGCCTTTCTCCAGCCCTTGCAGTGTCACCTGGAGCTATGCCAGTGCCACAGCTTGCTGCAGTCTAGAGGAGATCTTCCTCCTGTGACACCAGCTGTGCAGTCCCAGCCTTGGTGCTCCTCAAACCTTTCCCTGAGCTCATTCAGCTCACTAAGCAAGCAGAGTGCTGCTGAGGCTTTTTGGTCAGTTATTTTTGTTGACTTAGTTTTCTGCCAGATTGACTAGAGAGTTGAATGGGCTCACAGAGGGGTTGGATAAGCACAAGCCGCTGCAAGGAAGGTGATGGAAGTGGGAGGCTGTGGGAATGTGCGCCCCAGAAGAGAAAGAGGAGGAAGAGTGCTGGCTAGACACAGTACCTTTGTCCCCTCAGTGGTCTCTTGAAACCAAAGCTGAAGTGAGCAGCTCACTGGGTAGCCCCCCCCCTTTCTGGACAAAGGCTGTCTGATAGCTGAGGGCTGTCAGCATCCTCCTCCCTCTGGGTCCGATGGTAAGGTCTCAGGTGACCATTGCACCACGTGCAGGGACAGGCAGCCAACAGTGCAAAGTGGCAGCTGAAGTGTGTGTTTTAACAAAGCCTGACTAATACCCAGCCTGTCATCTCTGTCAAGCCTCTCTGGCGTAAATGAGCTGACGTGGTGTGTTACAGACTACAGTACCTAGTTAACGAGGGGCTTCTCACCCTCAATCACATGAAGTGGCACAGCTTCCTCTACTCCCGCTGCAGGATATGAAATCAGTGTAGTGACTCATGTCCTGCAGGAGGTGTGTAAGGCATGAGGAGGGTGGCCCTGGTCTGGCCTGGTCAGTAAGGTACAAGCCGTGGGCTGTCCACCACTGGGGTGTACTTGTGGGGTGCTGGCAACCCAGCGATGTGTTCTTGCCAACAGGAGGCACTGGAAGCATGCCAGACCCGCATCTCCAAGATGGAGCTGCAGCAGCAGCAGCAGCAAGTGGTGCAGCTGGAGGGGCTGGAGAACGCCACGGCCAGGAACCTGCTGGGGAAGTTCATCAACATCCTTCTGGCCGTCATGGCTGTCCTCCTTGTCTTCGTCTCCACTGTGGCCAACTGCGTCGTGCCCCTCATGAAGACTCGCAATAGGACGTTCAGCACTTTATTTATAGTGGTTCTCATTGCCTTTTTGTGGAAGCACTGGGACGCCATCACCGGCTACTTGGAACGGTTCTTGTCTCCCCCCAGATGATGGCGGCAGGAATTGGCTGCGTCGCCCTCCTCCCGGTGCTCTCAGTGAGCAAGCGTGGCAAAGATTAGTCAGCAACTACTCTGCTGAAGTTTTAAAGTGTCCGAGTGAATTTGTTTACATTTAGAATAACGTTTTTTCTCTGCGAGATGCATTGCAATAGTATTTTTTAGATTTTATTCAAGAACTCTTTTTGGCAAGAATCCTGGATAATTTTTATGTAGCATGGTTCTCTTTGGATGCAAATCTTAAGATTCTTTAAAGTGTACAAAAGAAATAAATAAAATGCAGAAATTTGGAGCATACCAATGGGCAATTTAAATTGTGGCTTGAACTACTGTACTAAACCTGTCAAGAAGAAGAGAACGTGGTTAGCTTAAGATGAGCAAAGCTAAATCTAGTGCACAGCCTTGAATGATGGTACCACAGCAAACCTGTAACACTAAACTTTTACTGTGAAGTCTGCTCACATTCCATGTCCAAATGTATGCGTTCAGAGTGGTTTCTTTCCTTAACAAGAGAAAAACAACAACATGTAGATCTCTTTCCCAGCTCAGCGTCTGGGTTCGCCATTTGTGCTAACCCAACTTAAAATAACTTTCTATAAGGCTGGCTAACTTTGCTAAGCGTATGAAGTGGAAGCCTCATGCCATACACAGTAACTGCACGGTCGTGCTACAGTATTTTGAAGTCGTCCTTGAAATACTTATCTTTAAGCAGAAGCCCTTGGTCGCACTTTTAAGGTTTTTTTTATATATGTATATTCACAGATTTAAAAAAAAATCGAACAGCATACTTGAAGAGTGTAATACTCAAACTCTCAGTGCTTCCTTATTGTTTCTAATAGGATTTTTTATTATAATTATTATTATTATTATTATTGGGGGTTTTTTTGGAAGGGGTTGGGAGGGTCATTACTTTTTTTTTCCTTTTAAATAAAGAAGTGATGTTTTTAAATGAAGAAATGCGTGAATAATTGTGAGCCGTCTTGTCCTGAAACAGTTTTGAGGAGGGCAGAGAGTAGTTTCTAGTGCCAGCCTGTCTGGAATGCAGCGCTGTTTATATGCCATTTATCTGTCCTCCTGAGCATGCAGATGCAGCATCATGAAAAACATCTATCTTCTCCACACATTTTTGTCACGCAGGGCTTTTTTTTTCTTTCTCCAGATGTGAAGGAGAGTATGTTTATATTTCTCATTTGCACGTCATCTCTCATTCCTGGCCTCAGGATAAGAATAAGGAATTTCTTTTTGTCTCTTCCTAGGGGAAAGACAGGTTCTTTTAAGGAAAGAAATACTGAATCAACAGTCCACTTAAAAGAATGGTTGTCTCAGAAGTATCTCTGATTTAATTTTTAAATAAACCCCTAAAAAGTTAAACCAAAGTTTTCCTCCTGTCAGGCTCTGGTAAGATCATTTGTGTGTCTGTGTCAAGATCTTCTTTGTACACTGTATCTGCATGGTGTGCCATAGAGAGCATCCTCTTCTTCAGCCATGGGGGCAAGTACTTGGTGTAAACACCTTTTCGAAGCTTGAAAGGAAATATCAGCTTCAAGTGTAATTCCCAAATCCTAGCAACATGCTATTGCTGGTGACCTGTTGGGACTGGCAGGCAGGCTTCATGTCCAAGGAATCCGCGTTCACTCTATGCTGTATTTTTTTAAGTGGTGTCCCTTTCATCATAACAAAGCCAAGATTCAACCTTTGTCTCCATGAAATCCAAAAAGACTCCAGGATTCTCTTTCAAAACCATTTATGGTGTTTGGTTAGATCTTACTGTTTTCCTTCCTTCCAGGCTTAAGTTCCCTCTAGGAACCAAATGTTGCCCAAGTGACCTAAACCAGTTGAAATCATACGTACACATATATTGAACATGTACATCATATATAGATGTATACACAGAAGCCTAGGACTTTGTGCTATGATGCATATTCTGGGTTCTGAGAAATTCCCTCAGACTAGGTTAGCAGCCTTGAGGGTCTTCTGATTGCCAGCAGAGGCAAGCCCTCTGCTGTCCAGCTACCCTTCTTCCTTCAAAGATTCTGTTTTTTCCATAGTCACAGGAAACTCAGGTACCCCCCTCCCCAGGGATTCCCAGCACACCTCTCTCTGTCACCATGTGCACTCATCTGCTCCTGTCCTACTTAAAACACAAATGGCCAATTGCAACTGACTCAAGCCAAAAATAATGATGCTTTCTACAGAGTTGCAGACAGATCAAAGACTGCATAAACATTCCCTCCCTAGACCATGCTTCTAGCTCCAGTGAAACTTATTCTGTTTACCACCCTTCTCTGGCTGATTCAAATTGCATGGATAACTATTGTCTTCCCATTACGCAGTTTTTGTCAGAAATAAAGGTGTGAGTAACAGTAAGAACTGATTTGGCACATAATTGAAAAGCTTTGTTGCCTTTATTTCTGAAACCTGGCCTTTGCACCTGTTTTTCTCTGTTGTGATCACACTAGAATGCTCATGGTAAGTTTTTATGTGGTCAAAGCAGGAAGGAGTTGAAAGGCAATGGATCTGGACACTTGGTGCCACTTGTCCATAGTATTTGAAGGAAGTGTTTGTCCCTCTTCTTCCTCATTTCATTTAGTGTCTCAACTCTGTGTCGTCTTCAGTAAATACCATTTGCTAATTTGCCAGAAAGCACAGGCTTAATAGAAACTTATCACCTCAAAACTGTTTGGTGAAGGCCATGTACATATGGTTCTGGACAATGTCTGTTTGTCTGTGTCTTTCTCTCTCGACAGTTTCTTCCATTCCAGAAAGTTGTCTGCAGTAATGCCATATATGATGCTGCATCCACTTTTCATATCCTAACACAACTGCCATGTGTTTTGCCTTTTGCATTAGCAGAACGCTTTGGGGTTTTCCTCCCTCTTCAATTTGAAGTTCTGTGATGATTTCTGATAGCTTAACAATGATTATATTGTTGGAAATGTGATTCTAGCTTTAAAGCTCCCTTTCCTTGTTAAGTGGTTGTGTTTGCTTTCTTGAAGCGTTTCTGGATGACACGTAGAAGACAGTTTCTGCCACGGATGTGAGTGTGCGTGTGAGTACCTTTTATTAGCCTTCCTTATGGATGTAGACTTTTTAGTGACCATCTCTGAGTTGCAGAATGTTTCCCAAAACATTTCATATTCAGAGTTGAAATGATTCTGAAATTGCTTAGATATGTTTAGCACATATCAACTTGGCATATAAAAAGGGAAGAATATAATGGACTGTGTTAGTTCAAAAAGCAGCAGCTCTTCATTGAAATTCTGTGGTTCAAATGAAGTTCATCTGTTTCCCCCATTTGCTTTCTCAATGTAAAGAAGAAAGAAAATACTGATGCAAAAAACCTTACCATCTTAAATTTTGTAAAGTTCTCTTTTCTCTCAGCCTCATTAGTTTAGTTTAGTGATACTCAGCATGCTCACAGCAATTATTTCATTGGTTTATTCCAATCCCATGAGTCTTAGGGTCTGATCAGATTAAATGTTGACTTCTGTACATGTTGCACTGGGACAGAAAAGCACTGTCTTTCAGCTTTGAAAATATGCATTTTTTTAATTAAAGCAGCATTATAACAAAAGAAGCCAAGCTACAAAAGGGTTCAAGATTGGGTAGTTTTGCCAGTTTTTAAGTGAATTCTGAATGTGGCTAAAGAGTTAAAAACCCTGTGTGTCTGTGTTGTGTATGCCAGGTGGTATTGTAGTAGGCAATTGACTTAGCTGTAAGTGTGTTTTAAAAGTGTAAAAAAATAAACAGAAAAACTCACTTGCACGGGTTGAAAAGTACAGAAATGACACTTGTGAACGTAACACTGTAGTTTATAGATCTTAAGCTGCTAATTGTTGAGAGAGATTTACATTTGTCTTGTCTGATTGTCGCAGATTTATCTGTGACGCTTTTACTGTATATAAAAAACTTTAAATAAAGACCTCAGCTATTAACACTGGCCTAATTTGGATGTTTCCAAAGGGATGGGGTGGGGCAGGGCAGGGTGGGGCGGGGGGGTGGTCAGGAAGAAAAGGAGGGGTGTGTTAAAACTGTGCTGAGCCCTAATAGCTTAAAGTTTGAGCAAGTTCTCCATAGATCCGATCATCAAACTTCATCCTATAATCAGCTGTATGCCACCGGGGCATGGCAAGAATAAATTGGCTGCATTGTTTGGTCTCTGTGGGCAGAGGAGGAGGAGCAGCGCCACTGTATTCTTCCTCATCTGTTCCCTTCCAGCCCACCTGGAGTCTGGGACAGCCCCTCTGCAGGGTCCCTGCCATTCCTGCAGATGCCTGACCTGTGTGTGGCTTGGACATCACGGCATTTCGCTGCCCTCCCTACCTGCAGTGCTGGAAGCCTCAGTCTGGAGGCGGGTACAATTTGGTGAGATGACTGGCCCAAGAGCTGCCTGTCCTTGAAGAATCAGGAGCTGGTCCTGTGTTTTCCACCACTGAGCTGGTCTGTAATCTGGGCTGCCTTGGTTGAGAAGTGGGTGGAGGCTGGCTTTTGCTTCTTGGGATGTTTTCCTTACTGGGTTTGCAGGATCAGCTCTGTGCTGAGCTGCATATGCAAAGCCAAGTGTGATTCTAGCCTCACCTGTTTTTCTCACGTGGATCTTGTGATGGAGCAGCTCCGGGCCCCAGCTCATTTTTAACAAGGAAGAATTCCGCTGGTAGGACAGCATTCACTAACAGAAAGCCCACTCCCTCTGAGGAAAGGCGAGAGCCGTTGTGATGTTGGTTGGGCCACCACTCTAAACCTAAGTATTTTGTCTACCATGTTTCACAGAAGCAGCTCTGAATTCTTTAGTATTGCTACAAGATGGAAGTGAGCAGATTCCTCACTGACATGGAGAAAATACTCATTCCTCTTGTTTTTTGGTCACGTGGCCTCAAGAACACAGAACCAAGAAGGTAATGGCAACAACTTTTTTAAGTGTAAAGGGACCGAGTAGTTTTCACTGTTTTCATGAAAAGATGCAAGTGCTGTAAAGCCAGCAAGAGATCAAAAAGCAAAAGCAGCTGTTTGCAGTGATTTTTCTCCCCATAGTCTCCCCACAACCAGAATGCAAATTCCAGCAGACTGTGGATGAAGCAAGTGCATGAGGCTGCTTTCGCTAGAGCTGTCTGGCTCAAGATCAGACATGGGTGCTGGTTGTGAAGTTTAATGTTTCTGCATTCTTTTGGGGTGGTCACCTGATTGATAGGTGCTGGTTGGACTCAGCATGGTTGTTGAACATGGCTCAGGATCAACAGAGGGGCATGATGACCAAGGGTGAAAGCAGTGGCCTTCTACTCCCACATCAACAGTTTTAATCCCATAATTTAGAGGGTTAGTTGTTACTCAGCTTTTTGGTTAGTCTGTGGGAAGTGTTTTGATAGCTCCACCCAGGTCCCCAGGGACAAACAGGGATGTAGCAAGGGTATGGCTGTGCTGGGTTGCCACAGTGGAGGTTAAGAATTGACTGATCTTTCTCACTGGAGCAGCCATTCTCCCAGGTCAAATCGCAACACACTGATGTGTTGATAGTGGAAATTCGGGCAAACAGACAGCTCCCTACCACAAGGCATCTGTCTTCATGTTGTTTCTTAACAAACACCAAATCCACTTTCTCCTTTAAACGGCAGTGTTGGTTAGTGGTTTGTTGGCGTTGGTGGAGCCTCCCTCACTGACAGGAGTTCAGCAAAAGTGGGAAGTGGCTTCTCTGCTGCCTTGAGTTAGCATGAAATGGTACATCCCTGGGCAAACCAGCTCTGCTGAGTAGTTCATTCCCTAGCCAGATCCCCTCTGAACTTATGAATAAGAGTCACCACATATGCGTGCTCTGCCGTTGTACCAGCCCTGGCCCAAAGGGGCAAAATAGGGCATGCTGATGCAAAATAGGGAACGCTGCTTGAGGAGAAAAGT